GGGAGGACAGGGGAGAGCTGTATGCCATGGCAAAGGTTAGATGGGGAGGACATGGGGAGAGCTGTATGCCATGGCAAAGGTTAGATGGGGAGGACATGGGGAGAGCTGTATGCCATGGCAAAGGTTAGACAGATGGGGAGGACATGGGGTGAGCTGTATGCCATGGCAAAGGTTAGACAGATGGGGAGGACATGGGGGAGCTGTATGCATGGCAAAGGTTAGACAGATGGGGAGGACATGGGAGGCTGTTATGCTGGCAAAGGTTAGATGGGATGGGACATGCCATGGCAAAGGTTAGATGGGGTGAGGACATGGGGAGAGCTGTATGCCAATGGCAAAGGTTAGATGGGGAGGGACATGGGGAGAGCTGTATGCCATGGCAAAGGTTAGATGGGGAGGACATGGGGGAGCTGAGCCATGCTATGCCATGGCAAAGGTTAGATGGGTGGGACATGGAATGTATGGGGGGTTAGAGAGCTGTATGCCATGGCAAAGGTTAGATAGGGAGGACATGGGGGAGAGCTGTATGCCATGGCCAAAGGTTAGACAGATGGGAGGACATGGGGTGAGCTGTATGCCATGGCAAAGGTTAGACAGATGGGGAGGACATGGGGAGAGCTGTATTGCCATGGCAAAGTTAGATGGGTGGGAGGACATGGGAGAGCTGTATGCCATGGCAAAGGTTAGATAGGGAGGACATGGGAGAGCTGTATGCCATGGCAAAGGTTAGATGGGGAGGACATGGGGAGAGATGTAGCCATGAGAGCTGTATGCCATGGCAAAGGTTAGATAGGGAGGACATGGGGAGAGCTGTATGCCATGGCAAAGGTTAGACAGATGGGGAGGACATGGGGAGAGCTGTATGTCATGGCAAAGGTTAGACAGATGGGGAGGACATGGGGAGAGCTGTATGCCATGGCAAAGGTTAGACAGATGGGGAGGACATGGGGTGAGCTGTATACCATGGCAAAGGTTAGACAGATGGGGAGGACATGGGGTGAGCTGTATGCCATGGCAAAGGTTAGACAGATGGGGAGGACATGGGGAGAGCTGTATGCCATGGCAAAGGTTAGACAGATGGGGAGGACATGGGGTGAGCTGTATGCCATGGCAAAGGTTAGACAGATGGGGAGGACATGGGGAGAGCTGTATACCATGGCAATGGTTAGACATGGGGAGGACATGGGGTGATCTTCATGCCATGGCAAAGGTTAGACAGATGGGGAGGACATGGGGTGATCTTCATGCCATGGCAAAGGTTAGACAGATGGGGAGGACACGGGGTGATCTTCATGCCATGGCAAAGGTTAGACAGATGGGGAGGACATGGGGTGATCTTCATGCCATGGCAAAGGTTAGACAGATGGGGAGGACATGGGGTGATCTGCATGCCATGGCAAAGGTTAGACATATGGGGAGGACATGGGGAGATCTGCATGCCATGGCAAAGGTTAGCAAGACTTGATGAGAGTTGGTTGAGGGCCTATACCCCACTGAGGGGATAAAGGGCAGAAGAGAAGATAAATTAACCATTTTGGTCCCAAGGAGATTTTGGGACAGAAGAATTTCAGAAAGAGAGATTTTGGGACAGAAGAATTTCAGAAAGAGAGATTTTGGGACAGAGAATTTCAGAAAGAGAGATTTTGGGACAGAAGAATTTCAGAAAGATAGATTTTGGGACAGTATGTAGTCCAACTGTGCGGCCTGGTCTGGGTTGCTCCATTTATACCAGGTGTTTATTTGGCTTTGTCGATGCTGATAGAAACTATTGGTGACATAAAGGCCATGCTCTGCACAAAGTTCTAAAATACGCTGCCCGTTGTAATTGCAGACTTTGCTGTTGTCTGAGTGTGGCCCGATATATTCCTCCCACGGTGTTCGCCTCTGCCCTATATGCCCATTTAGGTCACCTATTACCATAAGATCATCATTTGCGTGTATCTGACTGATGACATCCGACACTGAGTCAAAGAAGTTATCTTTCTCTTCCAATGTGTAACCATCATATGGTGGGTGCGTATACCTGCACAATGCTTGTATTCTTGTTTTCCCCGTAGTAGAGTTGCAATACTATAATCCTTTCAGATACATATTCTATATCTTTACATGTTTAGCGATATCCGGATGGAGAATAAAAACCGACTCCGTGAGTCGCTCTCTGCTCTTTCTTAACGCCGCTCCAAAATATGACATAGTTGTTATGAATTTCTTTTGTTATGTTGCCTTTTTTCCTGCAATCTGATTTCCCATTATATCGATCTTATGTTTCATCATAAATTCTACGATTTCTGGTTTTTTATTTGTGAGACCACAAACATTCCAGGTTCCGATTTTTGTCGCTTGGCTAGTTTGTTTACAATGAGGGAGAGATGGCTGACCTGTTCTCGAGCCCTGATTGTTGTTACGTTTGATGGATTTTCTAATCGCAATGAATAAGCAAAAAACAACTACATCCTAAACAAACAAACCTGGAAGAACAATCGTATTTCTGTCAATACTCAACAGAAAATATATGGTGAGTTGCTTGGTCCACATCTTCACATTTGCTGTGTCCCTCCCTGGCTGTGTTTTCTTGCTACTCACTCTATATATATTTATACTGTGCAGTCAATTAATTCTCACTTTATTTGTGAGTTTCTGACTAAATAAGCTGTTTGTCTCCAATGAATGTGGAATGAACAGACATTAGGAACTTGCTTAAAAAGAACACTAGGTTAAGATGAACACAATTTTGGTCCTGGCCTGGATGTTTTATTATAATTGCTCAGCGCACATTGTTTAACATAAACTCTGGACTTTTCTGTCCCGTAGAATTTGCATTGATAAGTTTTTACTGTAAAAAGAAGTCTTTTTACCTTAGTTGCAATACGGTATATAGCTCTGAGGGGCATGTCATTCATGTATGGTGGCTCCCCTTCCAACATCTCTATAACCATGATGCCTAAACTCCAGATGTCCACTTTGTTGTCGTACTGTTTCCTGTGTACATACAATCATTATGTTCATAAGGGTAAATGAATGTGATCATTTCTCAAAAGCAAGTTTTTTGGATGATGAATCCTACTGTCATGTGACTCGCAAATGTTCAGTAAATAAAAGAAACAGACAATGTATATTTAATTCTAACTATTCTTGTTTCACCAGAAGCTGCCCACTTCTCACCTCTACTGTAATGATGTGACATTCATTAGTTGCAGTAACGGTTCTTGTCTGACACCAAAAAGTAGTTTATATCAGATCCCCCTTTACACCATCTGAGAAACACATTAGGATGTAACAAACTAGACATCAAATGTCTGGGATATAGCTGAGTTTGGTAATGTATCTACCATGGGTTCAGGTGAACCACTCTCAACAGACTGCAAACAAATGTCCAGAAGAAGTGGAGTTGATTCAAGAACCGACATCACAGCACTTGGGCATTCCCATAAGCATTATGTCCCCATTCTCAGCAGCCAACGCAGAGTTCCAATACTAATGGTATTAGTAGCAATCTCATTAAAAGGTCTTCTTGCCTTTTCTCTGAGCGTCGAGTATCTGCCAGGTCCCCTCATCACTCTCAGCAGAATGTGATGACCCATTTGCTTCTCTGAACTGCACACATGCTCCCATTAGGCCTTAACCAAGTCTGCCTTACCATTCATCAATATTCCACCAAGTTGTGCAGAGTGACCCATTAGTCTTGTTTATTTCCCAACACACCAGCATGCCGCAGAGAAAAAAATCCAGACAATGCTCTTCACCCGTGACCTCCAAAGAGAAGCTTGTGACTCTGCACAAAGCATGGCCTATCCTCATCTTCCTCAGCATGCTTTGCGAGTTGAACATCATAAAAGGTAAATTGTAACACTATTCATGAAACAGTCACTGAATTTGAAAACAAATGGTTTGAAGAAGGAAGGATGTCCAAGAGAGACCATAACACAAATGTTTATGAGAGGCGCCAGAGTTGCAGGATCAGACTGCCTATGCATACCAATGTACTGCATAGGATAGAATGGAATCAACTGTCAGCTTCAATTCACGTACAAATAGCACAACAGAATGATAATGATGCTGCAATACTACTACTTATTTCAAAAAATATAACCGTGCACAGAGCCTGTTACCTTGGACAGAATCCTACTTATAGAGTTTTGCATGTACATCCGTATTACAGATCAGGCTTATTTTTAGCAGACTCGTGGTTACTTGCCTCTCAGGCGGTTGCATCGACTTAAGAAGAAACAACTCTTAATATAGTTGGCTTCTACATGTTTGTAGGGGAGGGAAGGGGGCGGGGGCGGCAGTGGATCTATTCCTATATTCTCCACTCCCCCCCACCCCTAAAATGGAGCGAACATGAATTCAAAACACTAGAAATAAATGATATAAAGGAACCTCAAAATCGTTACAATACCTTTTAACAACTTCTGGAGCCATCCAATAAGGTGTGCCGGCCATTGTGTCTCTTTTACCCTTGTCACCACTCAGCTGGGCACAGAAACCAAAGTCTGTCAGTTTGACAGCACCAATCATCCCTAGCAGTACATTGTCACTCTTGATGTCTCGGTGGATGATGTTGTTGCTATGAAGAAACACCAGAGCTTTCAGACACTCGCGACACACTGCAGCAATCTGGCCCTCCTTCATGATTGTCTCTCTGACTACATCAGTTAGTGCACCTCCATCTAAATACTAAGATATAAAAGATAACATATGTTTAGTATAACACCTTCCTATTGCAGGTATGTTAACTCATTCATGCTATTTAAAGATGTATTAAAGAAGTTAAATATAAGATAGCTCAAGTGAAAGCAGCATTTCACAGGGATAAAAATATACTATTCAATCACAATCTTCATCATCTGAGGTGTGAAAGAGTTTAAAAGGAATACAAATATTCTGTGTAAACTGTTTCTGTCAACCCAGAAAAGAAGCAGAATTCTTCAATGCTATAAAGAGCCAATCCTGATGTACAGAAGTGAATCATAAACAAGCCACTGATTAGTTAAAACAATTATCTGGTGAGATGTAGTTTTTCCGGAACAATGATGACAACATCATGGCCAGATAAACAGTAAGGGAGATGATTCGAAAGACATTTTTAAACAACTCAAGAAGAGAACTGAATACCAGCACCAGAAGAAGATAATCTGCATGTCACACTGTGAGAAGTGAAACTGAATACATCAAGACAAACAGAAAAATTAGAGCAGAAGTAAGGCAGAGAGAATTCAAGTGAGGACTTTTTGGACATTCTTGTATCACAGCATAGAAGGAATTTGGAATCAGAAATGACTGACAATACATGATACAGATGTTTTTATGGGAGTTTTTGTTATACACATAAAAAAAAAAAAAATTAAAAAACAACAAAACAAAGAGACACAGAATTTCAGTTTTAAAATATAGATAATGAGAACATCATAGAAAGTTGGAGAGGAAGAAAGGTAAAGGAAGACCAAGAGAGAGCATTTTTGACAGTCTGGCATCATAGCATGGAAGAACATCTGAATTAGAAATTATTAACAATAAATGAGGCAGTAGGCTGCAGGCTTAAGGACTACCAATACAACAGGGCACCAACTGTAAAATTAATCCTAAGCATGCGTTTATAATTAATACTTGGGTATAAAGGAATTCGCTTAATGCAACCAGAGGAACTGAAGCAATATTTGGTAAAAACTGAGGTAATACCTCTGGAAACTCTTTAATGTTGAGTCTGATGCATTCTCACACATCCCTCTCAGTAGCCAACAGAAAGTTTCCACACTTATGGTGCCCGTTACAAGCTTGATTACAAATCCGACTTTATTCAGTGAAAACTGACCAGATCTTTTGCTTACTCCCACCTGAATCAGTCTCTTCAAATCTGGGTACTTTTTTGTGTTACATCGGCCACTTGATCCCAGAGAATTATCAAACAAATTATAAAATAACACAGCCCCAACTCAGAGACTGGTACAGATTCAAGTTCACACTAGTTTATGTCAGTTTACAGACAACAATGTAGTGCATATATAGTTGTAAAATTCTGAACACCACCTAGTCTTGATGAGTGGAATCGAATCATGAGCAGTCAGTCAAATAGTGAGAAATGAGATGTGTTATTTCTTAGAAGCAGGCAATCCACATTATTTTTGTCACGTCATGAGATAAGAGGTGGGGTGTGGGGCGTCTATGGTAATTGAAAAGTAGGAATAGAAGGCAAGAGAGACATTAGAACATCTATATCAGCAATGACTGACAGTACATGAGAAGGTGTAGACATGATTACCAACAGCACACATCAGAGACCGGAGAAGGAAGAAAATATATGACAGTCCCCATGAAATCTTACCTCCATTACCACCCACAGCTCAGTGTCGAGGTAGTAGCTTTCAATAAAGTTGACAATGTTTTCATGTCTGTGTTGTTTCATGACCTCTATTTCTGATATGATTAGCTCCTTCCTGGGTTGATTGTCAAGATCCATGATTTTAATGGCCACAACTTGATTTGACTCTCTGCACCTAGCCATCATCACCATGCCAGACGCTCTAAGACGTCACAAAATGAAAAAAAACATCCTCATCTACTTGTACACAAATGAGAAACAAAACTCACTGCTAAGATTTGTGGTTCACTTCATTCTCTATTTTACAAATGTAACAACAGTTAACATATGACTAGCACAACGCAAAATCACATAAGTGCACTTTCAGTTATTTTCACCTTACAATTTGCAGAGATCTTATTTGTCACTTTAAATATGCCAAAGGCATATATGTAAATTCCTACTTTAAACAGGTCAAATTATTAAGGAGGTGATAGCAGTAACAAAAGCAGTGATGTGGCTAGAGACAATGTTTACCAGGCATATTTTCTAAGTGATTCTATAAACATGCCTAAGAAGATTGAGACAGGATGGGTTGGAGGAAATCTTGTCTGACTGAAATCAGTTTCATTTTTGTGCCAGAGCACCCTGGGGTAAGAGGGAATGAACAAGCAGATTGGCTTGCTGGTAGGGCTAACAGGGTAGGTACAAGACAAGCAATGTAATTTGTTGATGTTCTCAGTGCCCACAAGGAGGACGAACAGATGGTTCAGGGGATGATGGTGAATACACAGCGCAAAGAAGGGGGAAAACAATACATGAAGATAGCGGCGCTTACCAGACAACCACGTCAAGCATGACCATGGAAATAGCCGCTGCTTCTAGAGCTTTAGCATGGGTATCCGAGCAAACCGCCACACAAGCAGTAATTGTCTCAGACTCAATGAATATGCTTCAGAAAATAGCAACTGGCAGTATGCGCTCTGAATGGATAGAAAGCATTCGGAAATCGCACTTAACTTCCGTAACCTGGATCTACACACCGGGTCATGCGGGCGTAAAGGGAAATGAGCGAGCGGACCAACTGGCAAGCACAGCACTAATGATTGCGGGAAAAAGCATGGACAGAGCAGATATCGTTAACGCTGTACGTACTGGGCTAGTGGATAATATCGAATCCCTGACACTAACACGATTGCATGACATGGGAGTTAAGCATGGTGAAGCACGTCTTTGCCGTCTGCGAGGCCGAGAAAGGAGACAATATAACCAGCTTCTCATGGGGACAATTAGTAGAAGTACTTTGGAGTGGCTGCTGCTTCGGAGGACTGCGCACGCATGGGTATGCCCAATGTGCAGTGACGTCGATTGTGATAACAAAACACAAAATAACATTTTGTAGGAAGTCGGCATTCCGAAACCCAAGTTCAAGGTGTCTCCTTCGTGCCAAAGAACTGCATGGCTGTTGGGTGAACAGTCGTTAACGAAGGCAGTCAGGTCGTTGTAGGGGCGACGCCTGCTGGTGGATGTAATGTCCTAAGTCCCTTTCCCAGCTAATAGTGAGGGTACTGCTGGGGTGACCATTTGTTAACCCCTCACATAATGCTTCAAGTCACAGTGGACGCTAGGCACGGCCACTTTTTTTTTTTTTAGCCGTGGCAGTTCTGCCAGGCGGTGGCCGTTGCATTTTTGCTCCATTTGTAGACTGGAAGGATATGGTTTCGTCACCCTGCTTCTGAGTTGAGTGCATGGTGTGACACTGTGAGCTACGAGTGTTTTTCGTTGGCACAGGAGCGGAGCAACAATGGGGTGACCCGTTTGCTATGATGCTGAAACTAGGATTACCAGATTACCAGATGATGGTGAGTCTAAAACAAGAACTTCAGATCAAAAGAGGTATTTATGATATGAACCCTTTATAGGTAGCCAAAGAGGACAAAGAAGAATAGTAAACCAATACAGAACTAGTGTTATCAGTCACCAGACACAGATGGTTATACCCAAGATGAGATCCGAGCGCTTATGGACTTGACATATTTGCAATGAGGATAATCAGCTGATTAACTAAAGTCACAATAAAGTATTACATTTACATCATCTTCCAAACCTCAGAGAGAGCCAAAAGTTTTATTTCCTGGAAACAAGGATTTAGCACTTCATCTGGCTGTCCTTAATTGGTCTGCTTGGTCAGCTAACCCATTTAATTTAGCAGATATCTACGCTTGCGGAACTTAACTGCTTACAGCTTTGCCCTGCTTGAGATACTGAGGGAGTATCTGACAGTATAACCCTTTCTGGGGACATTCTTTGAGTAATATGGATACTGTTTCCTCCAGGGCCGCTGCTTCCACTCTGTAACAGAGGGAGTGTTTTTCTACAGGAAGACTGCACTCTTTTACAGTATCTCTGGTCTATTCAATATGGATCCTCCCCCCATCCCTCACAGCACCCTTTGCCCAGCCATCAGTAAATATCTATAACCACCTGTTTTGGGGACAGTAAACTCAAATTCTAGTTTTTAGATCTGAAGAGGTTAAAAACATTTCTACAGCACAGTCTGCCCATGGATATGATATTGTTTGAACTTGGCAGAAAAGCATAAGCACTAATGGCACACCAATGCACCTGACTTTTGTAAAAAGATCCACAAACAGTTCACATACATACACAGCATTCTTATAAAGGTGCAGTAGTTCTATGGATGCTTCATCGGCGACTGGATCGCCCAATGGCTGACCGGTAGACGACTTTGTCTCCAGTGGGGACAGTATCTGGGTCAGTCTCCCTTGATCGCATCAACACTGCAAGAATCCTTTTCAGGGCTATTTGATAGCGAGCAATGCTAAGCCATTTTATATGGTGCAAATAAATCTAGTCATAATTATAACCAAAAGCTCCCCCTTTGGAGATGCTGGCTGAATGTGACGATTTTTAATTTTGTTTTGTTTCACCAAGCAATTCAAGTCAATGGATGCAGAGACTGATTTGACAATAGCTACGGTAGTTATTCCTACAATTCGAAAAGGAAGAAGACCAGTTGGGATGCCAATAGAAACAACACAATAAGACTTATTCACATGAACTGAACAGCAATCACTGAAGCAGAGGAAAGAAATAAAGATAGAAGGACATGTTAGACAACATACAAATCAAAAGCAATAGTTATTATACAAAGATTATAGCCTGCAGTTTCCAAGTGACAACAATTCTCTGACAAGTGAACTGAAATGCAAAAGATTTATGCTGTAATTGGTCATTACTACAGCAATGCACTGTCACTATTCAGAGGCAACAGGTTCAAATGCTAGTTTCTCGGAAGGGTAGCCCTGGCAAAAAATACCAGAAGAAGTCAGATGTGTCGGCCAAAAGGTGCAAATATAGCAGCCATGCTGTAAGCGGGAACACTACAATTATGTCTTGGGATGAATGAAGAAGAAATGCTAGTTTAGTGACTACTGCTTCTGATATTTATGCTGAACAGTGTGTCCTGTCCCTTGTCTTTCCTCTGCCTCTATGACTGTAATTCAGTACTCTCTCCACAGATGCATGTTGGCATAAATGATTGCCGACTTAGGCATACCCTGAACCAGAAGAGGAAAACCATGTTTCTGCTCTGCAGAAATAATAACATGTTTAAAAATGAAAAACAGACTTACCCAGCACCAAGCTTTTTTTGTATAGTATATTTCTCTTGAGCATTGCCTGGACTTGACATTTTTTCTATTAAAAAAACAACAACAGAAATCAGAGATAATATTGACAGCTAAATAATTATTGTACCATACCCATCATTAAATTTATTGAGAAGCAAAGAATGAAATGGTTTGGTCACCTAATGAGAATGGAACCAACGATGCCAGCATCAAGAGCATACAACATGAAAATCGAAACACCAAGAGGCAGGGGAAGACCAAGAAGAAGATGGATTGAAGGAGTCACGGACAACTTGAGACTTCATAACATCACGGCATAAGAAGCGACTGAGCGCGCCCTGGCTCGGTTGCTGATCATCTGATAGACTGCGACGCCTAGCGGCACAAGCAGATTTTGACAACAGAAAGAAGAAATAATTATTGTAAACAAACAGATGTGAATAAATAAGTCAGTAAAGGCAGGTAAAGGACGCATTTTCATGCCTCTAGGTGTAATGGGCATATAGGGCTAGATCTATATTTATGGACCAATCGACCCTTTGAGGGTGATGTCAGCATCATGCCAGCTGCCTTTACTTCCTAGGACTTTCCCTGATAACCCTTTAAGGACGGGTCGACCTGGAGATAGCTGAAATAAAGTTAACAACAAATAATCATGTATATTTGAAATTTCATGGTGAAAACAATGTTGAAAAACAATGGTGAAAAACAATGGTGAAAGTGCCAGAAAATGTCATGAAAAGTAACAGCAGCTGAATGATTTTTATCATATCATCCATGAAGTGTGATTTTTCCATAAAACTATTCAGCTAGCACACATGACCAAAATAGAAGAGCCAGTTATAGGGAATTTTTTTATTTGAATTGATTAGAAAATATAAAAATATGGATTAACACAAATGATTCTTCTTCTTCTTCTTTGTGTCCACCTCGTGTAAACCTGTCACAAAATTCTGACTTCTTGACTTTTGTTTTGTCCCACAACTTGCATTTTGCATGCACATTCATTTTACAGATCTGGCTTATCTGTATGCAGACTGCTGGTTCCCCACCTCTCAAGCAGACGCACTCCGATTCAGAAAAAAATCCAGTAATTGACTCTTATGACATGCTTGTCAGGGAGGCAGTTGGTCTATTTTTGTTTTCCCCACAATGGGGAACCAGAACCCAAATGGGGAATATCAACAAATCAATGTCATAAGGAAGTCTGGGGACACAGAAAGGTTGGTAGTATATTAGGATGACAGAAGGGTTAGGGGTATACTGGGACAATAGAATCATTAGGAGTGTATTGGGACACAGAAAGGTTAGCAGAAAGGTTATATAGGGATAACAGAAATATTACCAGTATATAGAGATAACATAAAGGCTAGGAGTATACAGGGGTAGCAGAAAGGCTATACAGGGATAACATAAAGACTAGACGTTTATAGGGATAACATGTTGACTAGAAGTATACAGGGATAAGAGAATGACTAGGAGTTTATAGGGATAACATATAGACTAGGAGTATAAAGGGATAACAGAAAGGTTAGAAGTATGTTAGAAGTAAGGTTAGGGGTATGCAGGTATAAAAGAAATACCAAGAGTATATAGGGATAACAGAAAGGTTAGGGGTATGTAGGGATAACATTAAGGTTGGAAGATTACACGGATAACAGAAAGGTTAGGGTTATGCAGGTATAAAAGAAATACCAAGAGTATATATGGATAACAGAAAGGTTAGGGGTATGCAGGTATAAAAGAGAGAATAGGAGTAAAAAGGGATAACAGAAAGGTCAGCAGTACAGTAGGACAACAGAAAGGTCAGCAGTATAATAGGGAAACAGAAAGGTCAGCAGTTCAGTGAGACAACAGAAAGGTCAGCAGTACAGTGAGACAACAGAAAGGTCAGCAGTACAGTGAGACAACAGAAAGGTCAGCAGTACAGTGAGACAACAGAAAGGTCAGCAGTATAATAGGGAAACAGAAAGATCAGCAGTACAGTGAGACAACAGAAAGGTCAGCAGTACAGTGAGACAACAGAAAGGTCAGCAGTACAGTGGGACAACAGAAAGATCAGCAGTACAGTGAGACAACAGAAAGGTCAGCAGTACAGTGAGCCAACAGAAAGATCAGCAGTACAGTGAGACAATAGAAAGATCAGCAGTACAGTGAGACAACAGAAAGGTCAGCAGTACAGTGAGCCAACAGAAAGGTCAGCAGTACAGTGAGCCAACAGAAAGATCAGCAGTACAGTGAGACAACAGAAAGGTCAGCAGTACAATGAGACAACAGAAAGATCAGCAGTACAGTGAGACAACAGAAAGATCAGCAGTACAGTAGGACAACAGAAATATTAGGAGTATAGTGGGACAAGAGAAAGGTTAGAAGTCTGCTGGGATAACAGAAAGGCTACAACTATACAGGGATAATAGAAAGGCTACAACTATACAGGGATAATAGAAAGGCTTGGAGTATAGTGGGCACCCAAAAAAAATTAGTAGTATACTGGGAAAACAGAAAAGTAAAGAGTTGCAATGACTTTCTCAGGCTATCGACAACTGCAATCTTCTTAAGTAAAGTGACAGTTAATTGAACATCTTTAGCAAGAAACAATAAATGTTGAAAATGCCACACAGTCAGCTGCTCGATAGGAAATGTTTATTCACTGTTCTCTGCCAGTGTACTTAAGGTAAACTGTCTAGGGCCATCCAAATCGGCCACTTATAGCATCATTAATAACTGCATTCATACTTTGGAACAGATGACGAATCACAACACTCCCAAATAGGTCAACACATCAGGTTTCCACTGAATCACATCAACAGCAAAACAAATGTCAGCCCTGACAAGTTGTCAGACCACCTGGTTGGGCACGTTTTTGTGGAACTTCCAGTGAAATCTTGAGCAGACACTCCCTCGCGGTTAGATTTACTCTGTTCTCACTCGTCACCATCAAATACACTGTCCCAGCATCAAAAATAAGACTGACTCTTCCAGATCATTCTAAGCTTAAATATGCTTGTTCTCCCTCGAGTTTTCGAACATTCGACGCAGGTAATTCAGGCTTTCTCTACTGTAGCAAAGCTTCAGCCAACTTACACGCTTCTCTCAAACTATTCGTACACTTTTTACTCAATTCCATTCGCTCAGCACATCATTTATGTTTATTATCTAACCTCATTTCAAAATGCGAACATTAGTTAACAATGAGAAAATGACTCATTACAGGAGTATACAGAAATAATTAGCACAGAGACAGTCTAGTGGAGAATAAAAGATGATGGAGAATTACTCACTCAATGTTTCATTAATTTCACGGTCTGTCATCATCCTCTGTGACTGTGGTCGGCGTATCAAGACTTCCTCATCATCCTCATCATTCATTCTCAGCTCTGCTACTTCAAATGAATTCCCATGATCCTCAGGTATATCGTCAGTGGCCAACTCAGGGGTATGATCTCCATCCTAAACAAGAACATGGATAGGCTAACACAGGTAATGGACAAGTTAATGTTAAGTTATCAACCTGGTAACATATATTCTTCTTTTTCAGCATTCCAAATCCTTCATTAATGTGTGTGATTGGTCTTCCCTTTTCAGCTGGTGATTTCAAGTGTTTTTGATCTGCCTCTCTATCATCTCTCAGCAGTTTTCTTGGTCTGCCCCGCGGTCTACTCCTATTCAACTCTGTTGTGTACAATGTTTATGACCGTGATGTTTGAAACAAACATACAAAACTATTTACAGCATTCTCAATTACCAGCCAGGATAAAACCACAAGCTCCTGGCCGTTCATCTATGTCTCGCTGTTCTAGGACTTCAGTGCTGCACCCATCTAAGGTTAATGGTTTATAGACAGGGCTCCAACATCACGGTAAACTTGCCACTCTACAATTGTTCAGTGCCTGTGTGTTTGCTGCCCCATCAATTGTTCAGTGCCTGTGTGTTTGCTGCCGCATCCAGTTTCCCACATGCCACTCTACAATTGTTCAGTGACTGTGTGCTTGCTGTCCCATCAACTTTCCCACTTGCCACTCTACAATTGTTCAGTGCCTGTGTGCTTGCTGTCCCATCCAGTTTCCCACTTGCCACTCTACAATTGTTCAGTGCCTGTGTGCTTGCTGTCCCATCCACTTTCCCACTTGCCACTCTACAATTGTTCAGTGCCTGTGTGCTTGCTGTCCCATCCACTTTCCCACTTGCCACTCTACAATTGTTCAGTGCCTGTGTGTTTGCTGTCCCATCCACTTTCCCACTTGCCACTCTACAATTGTTCAGTGCCTGTGTGCTTGCTGTCCCATCCACTTTCCCACTTGCCACTCTACAATTGTTCAGTGCCTATGTGCTTGTTGTCCCATCCAGTTTCCCACTTGCCACTCTACAATTGTTCAGTGCCTGTGTGCTTGCTGTCCCATCAACTTTCCCACTTGCCACTCTACAATTGTTCAGTGCCTGTGTGCTTGCTGTCCCATCCAGTTTCCCACTTGCCACTCTACAATTGTTCAGTGCCTGTGTGCTTGCTGTCCCATCCACTTTCCCACTTGCCACTCTACAATTGTTCAGTGCCTGTGTGCTTGCTGTCCCATCCAGTTTCCCACTTGCCACTCTACAATTTTTCAGTGCCTGTGTGCTTGCTGTCCCATCCACTTTCCCACTTGCCACTCTACAATTGTTCAGTGCCTGTGTGCTTGCTGTCCCATCCACTTTCCCACTTGCCACTCTACAATTGTTCAGTGCCTGTGTGCTTGCTGTCCCATCCAGTTTCCCACTTGCCACTCTACAATTGTTCAGTGCCTGTGTGCTTGCTGTCCCATCAACTTTCCCACTTGCCACTCTACAATTGTTCAGTGCCTGTGTGCTTGCTGTCCCATCCAGTTTCCCACTTGCCACTCTACAATTGTTCAGTGCCTGTGTGCTTGCTGTCCCATCCAGTTTCCCACTGGGGGATGTAAGGATTCATAATTAGCACTTTACTGCATGTTGATGTAACTATAGCATTGTACCCGAAAAGGTACAGTGAAATATGCTCAGCAGTAAACCATGCAATAAACTGCTTGTATCAGCATCATTTAAAGAAAAACATTGGAAGTAAAAACTACAAGAGTGTGGGTACAACTAACTACTGTCTGGGGCTGAACATGTAAAGAATACATGGATACATGAGGCATATCTGTAGTAGATAATCAATACCGTATAAACAAATGCCTCATAATCTGTTCATAAACAGCACCATGTCTTGGAAACTGATGTGTTCTGGCTGCATTATTCGAGGGAAGGTCAGTAAGTAGGTCACAAATGGTTATAGGATGGCAGGAAAATGTAGTTGATGGTTTCTAAAGGTGTCATTAGGTGACAGCAACATCAAACTTTATGTCTCCATTCTTTAGGTGGCGCTAGGTGTTGCATGAGCATTCGCAAGACAGAAACAAAATTGTGACTATACTTACAGAGTGTACCCTCAAACAGTTGATTCAAGAACCAACATCAAGCACTCTGTGCATTCCCATTAGGAGCATTCTGATTAAACTTGCCTCTTGCCTTTCCTCTGACCGTCGAGCACTGGCCAGAGCTCCTTGTCACTCCCTGCTGCATCAATCTAACCAGACTGTGATGATCCATTTCCTCCTCCGATTTGCACACACTTTCCCACACGGTGCTCGACATCCTCATAGAACAAATTGATGTTGTGCCATTATTTTGTGGGTGCAAAAGGGCTGCCTGCACATGAAATTTATAATGAAATGCTTCCTGTTTATGCTGACAAATGTTTATCCCATAAAGCAGTGCTTAGGTGGGTAAAATTTTTTTACTCAAGGACGCTCTAAAATTGTTGATGAAGTTCGATCTGGTCGTCCTGTTGAGAGTGCAACAGACGCCTCAATGCAATGGGTGGAGGAGATGATTAGAGGTGTCAGGCAAGTAACGGTTGACTCTTTAGCTGCTGCAATGGGGTGCTCACATGGTTCAGCATACAATAAAATGCATGACTGATTGAAATTTCCACCTCTTTGGTCCACCAAAAAACCCACCTTGGCGGGAGACAAATTGATAATGACGCAGACGTTAAATGTGAAGTGAAATTGTGCTTTATAAAACAGAGCACGCAGTTCTATGCAGCAGATTTGGGAGGACTGATAAAATGATGGTACAAGTTCATCAATGTTGCCAGAAATTAAGTTGAAAGATAAAGAGACAGTGTATGTGTAAAAATTAATGGTTTTCAAGATGTTATCGTCTTTAGTTTTTTTTTTTTAAACAATCATTTGTGACTTATGGAATAACTTCCCCTCATATGTCCCAATAGCTTAAAAATGCGTAACTAAAAAAAGTGGTTTCCTAATGGATAGGCATTCCTGTACTCTACTTGCTGTCATTCCTATTTTATTCTAGAAATGACAAAACTTATTATCTTAGACTCACATAAAAAATGTATAAAATAATTACATCTAATGTAAATATGAAAGATCAAAAGATCTGATCGAGGAAAAGCATTTAGAAAAAGAAGAAACTCAAAACCAAAAAAACTATGAAGAAGCAATAAAAAAGAAAAAGCAAACCAGAAACAGTGCATCCAAATGTATAAGTCAAAAGAAGCTGATGATACAAACCTTATCTTGAACATTTCTGTGAACTGATGTTTCTGGACCGACAGAATCTCCGCTGGCCCGTGCTTCCTGACTGTTCTCAGAGCCAGACGATGACCGATCATCCACAGGATCGATTATCTCATCTGATTCACGTATTGTTGTTGCAACCACCATGTACTTTGCTGCAGATGGTTGGCGCTTGACAGAACGAGTATATGTTTTTAGTGAATTCACCACAGCTTCTGGATTCTCTCTCTGTTCCTTTTTTCTGCAAAAAAAAACATTTTCCTTGCAAAGTTATTCAATCATTTAACAGTCTCTATACTTTTTTTTTTATTGCACCTTATAAACAGTATTCTCTTTAATTACTATCCATCACTCCTCTCTGTAGATCTTTGTGGTTTAGTACTCTGTATTAGTTAATTATGAAACTCTTTTTTTTTAGAAATTGTTATTCTATTAATTCATCATGACCTCAAAACCACGCCTAATTTGTACACTCAATAACAGAGCCACTGTACATCAGTGACAAGATGGCTGCACCCAGTCTGAATCAGCAGTCTTTGCATAATGAACCCAAGGATCCCAACAGATGCCAGGAACTGTCCTAAGAGGTAAAAGCCACTAGCATGATGGTTCATAACATTGCCCAGGCTGGCCAGTTAGACTTCAAGAAGACAGGTCTAGTACCAGATGCACAATGTGCCAATGTCATTCAAATGTTCCTGTTTGTTTTAAACAAAAATGTTTTAACTCTACTTTCAATACTTTAAAGATTCCATCTTGAATAATGAAACTATCAGGCAAATTGTGGGAACGACACCTTGTACTAGATTTATCGAGAAACAGCAGATCAAGTGGTTTGGCCATCTCATTAGAATGCAGCAAGATCAAATACCATCACAAGCACTACATCTCAGATGATCAGCTACAAGAGCAAGAGGACGGCCGCAGAAAACATGGATCGACAACATTAAAGACACTCTACGCCTTCACGGCATGACATTAGACAGTGGCAGCCAACGTGCACTGGATCGCAAATTATTCCTCCCCATGACGCTTAACGGCAGAAGTGGTTTATGATGATGATGATACTAAATAATCTAAAATTATATTTTACATTTTATTTGGGCAGCAGCACCAGCAACTATTCCCAACATTTCAGAAAACTGAGCTTGTTACATAAATAAGGCAATGAGATACTTACGAAATATCTGAAGTATTCAGCAGCATCTCCCAAGACTCCGGCAGGCCAACAAATTCTCCTTTCTCTTTATCAAAACCAACATGATAATTTCTTTTCACATTAAATGGTTCACCAATTGACAATGGAGCACTATCATCTCTAGAAGCAGATCCATTGGAGTTTGGAGTTTTGGTCTTAATTTTAAAGAAATGTCTGATATTCTGCATCTTGAAATCGGGAACTCTGTCACATCTTTATGTAAATAAATAAATAAATGTTCATAAGAATATGTTATCAGCACAGAAATTACAAATCACATGTCAGCAAACACAAACATAATTCAACTCGGTGCTTTTTCTTTTTTATGGTATGCAATAATACACATCACTGGCACTACAGACATTCATTAACTGGTGCCTGCGCAGAATAGAGGGAATTAAATGGTATGATAGAATAACTAATGTAGAGCTTTGGGAGAGAACTAAACAGGCTCCAGTGGACCAAGAGGTGAGGAAAAGACGCTGGCATTGGATAGGACACACACTGAGAAAACAAGGAGAACAGCATAACTAGAATGTTTGCATTGGAACCCACAGGGGCATAGGAATAAAGGAAGGCCCAAAAACACATGAAGAGAGCTGGAGAATGAAGTTAGAAAGATGGGGAGGACATGGGGAGAGCTCCATGTAATGGCGAAGGATAGAATGACTTGGCATGAGTTGGTTCAGGGCCTATGCTCCATTGGGGATAGAAAGGCAGAAGAAGACTGGAACTCCTTGCGCATAATTTTGTCAGCACTACTGTAACTGATACTTTGTGGTGAGCACCGGCACCTTTAATCTAATAGACACTTTGAGGTGAGTCTCAGCAAAGTTACTTTTCTGGAACTCTCCCGTGACTGCTAAGTTGGGGACAGAGTGCTTATGGGTACGTCCCAAGTGCTATAATGTTCATTCTTAACATACTCAACTCAATAATATACAGTACTGTGACAATATTGATATGTACTACAAATTATTTTTCCATGACCATTCAAAGCTAAGTAAGGTAAGACACAGTTAGCTGACACCGTGCGGCAAACTGTCAGTCCTATCATAAAAAGTCCCCCTAGGATCACGTGCAGAGGAAGGCCTGGACAAAGAAAGCAGCTGAAAAACATACAAGATGCTGAGAACATTTATATAGAGGCTAAGCCCAACTGCACTGCTGCTGTCCTATGACGGACCACAGAAGACAAAACAGAACGATATAAAGAGTAGAAGCAGGTATCAGGAGACCATCAATGGCTACAATAAGGCCGGTCCAATATTCAGCAATATAAGAAACAAATCATCAATAAGAAGAAAATAAACCAGTCAGCAATAGATTCCTACTAGAAGTCAAGATATCCAGCAGATCAGCAAAGGAGAGACAAAACTGACAACAATGCCTACAGACAAAATTACTGTTCTGCTGGAAAATGAAGTGGCTATTTTCAAATAAAAGATGTGCTGTACAAGATCCAACACCCACAATGGCATGTTGGTTGACTGCATAACTTTCTGGAGGAAATCAGATAACTGAGCAGAAATGTGAGTGGGATGCAACCCAGATTGTGGAAATCTAGTATACACATCAGCTTACTTGAGACTTTACAAATCACAGGCACACGAAGAAACAAGGTGAACATAAATATGGCGCAGTGGATGGGAATTCAAACATTACAGAGAAGCTTTCACTGTCAATAAGGATAAATTAATATGGTTATAAACTATACTGACCTATGGGTGTGAGTCATGAGCAATGACAACAGCTCATAGAAGCCAGCTACGGGCCTTAGAAATGAGATATCTGAGAAAAATGGTCGAAGTGTCAAGAAGGGACAAGTCCGCAATCAGACAATATGTCAAGATCTTGATACCCAGTCCTTAAAAACCTAAGAGGACCAGTCACAGTTACGATGGTTTGGACATGTATGCAGAATGGGAGAAAATAGGCCATCATGGCAGGCATGGGAGGCTAAGAACCAGGAAACCAGACCTCCAGGGCGACCTAGGGTCCGCTGGGAAGACAACATCCGACAGTCCCTAACTAACAGAGGACTGGAATGGAACAAAACCAGAAAGAAAAATGTTGATAGAGATGTCTGGCGATCTCTCTAGCAAACCTCTACACCCTAAGGTAGACGAGGAGCTACTAAGTAAGTATAAACTAAACATAAATAATACTATAATTATTATTCTGTGTGTTTACCAGCTGTAAACTCCAGCGGAAAGTTCTGGTTGTTCGTCTACTTCTGAACTTATGTCATGTTTTCGGTGCACATCTATTTTGCAAATTTAGCTCATTTGTTGTATACAGACTTGGTTCCTCACCTCTTAGGCAGATGGACTCTGACTTCAAAGGTTCATCTCATTAGTCTACATCTACAAAATGCTTCTTTGGGGTTGGGGGGGGGTAAGGTTGGTGGGGCGGCAGTAGGTCTATTCTTTATTTTCCACAACAGGACGCTGGAACCCACAAGGGTAGCATGAATAATCAACAGGCTGCTCATTATACCTGCAAATTCTAAATCCACTGTTCAGCCATCAAGATTCCCAGTAATTCAAGTCTAGCCTTTTGCTGATCAGTCTTCCTATTAGTCTGCAGTTGCAGCTGGTCAGACTTATTGCTTGATGCTCTCTGTCTTGCTCTTGGGTTTGCCTTACTTGAGGACTGGAATGAGGGTTGCCTTTCCCTCTGTCTATGGGACTAGGACATGTTTGCAGCTGAAGTTGAATATCTGGAGGAGTTTTATTTTTAGAAGGTGCCCTCTCTCTGCTGCATATCTAGGTCATTGTCCATCTTATCTAGGCCTGGTACTTGTCTCAATGTTAGTGCTTTCAAAGCAGTCAATAGCTCTTTTGATAGTGTGGTGATCACTATATCATCTTCTGGATTCATTACTATTGTGACTACTTTGTTAACTTGTTCTCTGATCTTGGATTTCCTCACTTTTCTATCTCTATACTGCTCACAGCCTGGAAAATGTGTCATGAGTAGGTTAGCTGTTTTCTTGTGTGTTTCAGTTTGACCTGTCCGTCTATGAGAACATACTGGCTGTTTTCATTATTGAGAGTTTTAACCAATGATGAAAGTTTCTTTCCATCTGCTTCGAAGATTAAATTTGCTGTTTTCTTTTCTTGTCATGTCTTCCTTATTTAAGACAAAACGTTTTCCCAAAATTTAGCAGTTTGGGCCTCTAGTTGAAATGCTATTTTCTACTGTCCTTTGCTGTTCCACTATCTTGATAGCTTCTGACCCTTCCATTAAGATCTTGCAGCTCCTTCAATAGCTGAGAATGCAATTGCAATCTTGCAGTTTCCCGATGCATGCTTTCTTTAGCTGCTCTCACGCGATGATTCACAATTTCCTTATGACTTGTTTCCACCATTCTCTGGTTTTAGATATATAAATATATATAGTGAACTTCAAGGGTTCGGAATGCTGATAAGAAGATTACAAAAATGAAAAATAACAGGTGAAATATACAGGAAAATACAAATCTTAAAGCTTACTGAAAAAGTAAGTGCCAGAGAAGTTTAATACAAATTTGAAAATGTCTTCCCAACTTTTTAAATGATCACACTAAAGGAAAAGAAAAAAATAGGGAAATATGACAGGTCACGACTATACACAGATTAAACTTTAAACATTGATGCAACAAACAAAAATCTAAAGATGTCAAAGACAAAAGCAAACCAAATCGTTGTGAGAAGGAACGTCGCGGTCAGAGCAGCAGTCAAGTCAGTGTCTGGCTCTCTCATCAGCTCGGGATGTACACAAGCAAAACTATCACTGGAAATATCTTCTATCGGCCCGGATACCTGCCTGCAGTCTACCTCCTAGGAAAGGTTCTCAATGGGGTGTTGTTGTTTTTTTTAAAACCCAAGAGGTTGCTTGAAAACTCAAGTTATAGATAATAAAAATTTAAATTACAAAAAAAAAAAAAAAAAACTAGATCGTCAAAAAGTATCTTTTTAGTCCCCAAAAAATTTAATATTTACTCACTTTTCTTACATTTCCTTAACAACTCTTTTCCTAGCCAATCTCTGTCGTCACTGTCTCTTGAACACCAACTTGTACAATCAATGCATTGGAAAAAGCGCACAAACTATCCTTACACCCTCCCCCCCCACACACACACACACACTCACACACACAGACACACACACACACTGAACAGGTAAATGACAGAATATAAGAAGAAGAAGAAGAAGAAGAAGATGATGATGATGATGATGATGATGATGATGATGATGATGATGATGATGATGATGATGATGATGATGGTGATGATGACGATGAAGAAGAAATGTCCTTTTCGGAGTTTCCATTTCCTTAAAATATCTTTGACTGCACAACTTTGCAAATCTTTCAATAATTCTGTATTTGGTGTCTATGGTGAACAGTCGTTATTGCCTCTTATGGTGGCTTCTGTTTCAATAATTCCTTTCCTTCAGGTGGCTGCTTTCAAAGAATTTGTTTGCTTTTTTTTTCAGACAGTTCAGTGTGCAGAGATGAGTGATCTCGTCAACAGAAAAGGCGACTACTTTCCTTGCTCTCTGGACAATAAAATTGTAAAAGTTTATGTTCCAAGCCTCACAGTTAATGACAGAAACATCAAAATAGAAACCAAACTGAAGTACCTGGGTATTATTTGCGACAAAAGCTTGTCTTTCTTGAATCATGTGGAGGCAGTCGCCGTGAAATTAAAAAAAAAATGTTAATGGCAGCAATGGACATGAACAAAATAATACTGTTCACAATGTTCCAGCATGTGATCCTGTTAGTAACTGATTATGGACTTGCAATGTTTAACCATATCAAAGAGTCAGCGAACATAGATTGAAGCCATGCGGGTAATTCTGGGACGTACAGGAGATACACCGGTAGTATGTTGAGATATATACTTGCACTGCCTACTATTACAGATAGGCTCAAAGTTCTGCAAGCAAAGTCATATCTCAGAGTAGCTGTAGACAAGAAGCACCTGCTGCATGAAGCCCTGGGTAGAGCTAAGGGTCACAGGCTGAAAAAAGGAACGTCTTGGATGGCGCCAGCTTAAGACACAATTGGACATGTGTGCAGGCTTGATAAATTTGGGGGAGGAGAGGAGTTGGTCAAATTGCCCGAGCAAGTTTCAGACTTGTGAGGGTTCTTATCACTCTAAGTCGTGAGTGCAGGGACTGACCAGCTGGTGCTGAAGAATCAGAAGTTCAACAAATGATTCATGACAATTCTCGCCCAAGTGATGTGATTATCTTTACAGATGGCTCTGTTTTGAGAGGCAGACGAAGTGCACGGGGGTTCATAACAGAAGCGAAGGGACGTCGTTTAGTGCAGCAAAGCTTTCATGTGATATCATAACGTCTAGTCTAGCAAGGAAGTTAAGGCAGTCACTGTTGTCTTGAGAATCAGTTGTACACACATGCCGTGATTGTAACTGGCTCACAGAGCATGTCGAGAAAGGTGGAGAGGTATGCTCCATGAAGAGTGACAAGCTTCGCTTCAAAGGTGTCGGGTAGTTAGGGTACTTTCGATATTTTCTCTTGGTCGTGCCGGTGTCTGGACACGGAACAGACATCTAGACAAGCTGGTTCTTCGCCACTTGGTGGTAAACTGATGCATGACAAGCGAGATATTGTGAAGGCCCTTTGGAAGCGAGTGAACAGTGCGGAGGCACAAACAGATCCTTTCGACTTGCGTTAAATGGCACTGCGAGGATTTATCAGGGAATCTGACCAACGCTCAACACTTAAAGGGAAAGGCAAGACGGATATACAATCAGACAGTTAATGATGTCATCGGGATTGAAACTCTTTGCTTGCTGCAGAAGATGGGAGGGGGCGCTTATGGGAGTGTACCAAATGCTGTGATGTCGATTCTTAATTCAAAATTCACACAGTTCATTCGGGAAAATATGCGTTCATCTGCTGCTGAGAAGTGAAGCCAGCTAGGAGGTTGATAAAATCTGATAAAATATATTTATATATGATATAAGTAGGAGGAGAAGGACTCATCTCTGAATCAACCAGTAAATTCGCAGAATTCAGAAGGCAACTTCTCTACTGATCACCTGAATCATTGCAACTGTGTTCTGGTACAAGCGAACAAAATATAGTTAGTTAGTTAGTTAGTTAGTTAGTTAGTTAGTTAGTTAGTTAGTTAGTTAGTTGGGTTATCATCATTGCACTCCGGACATGTCCATAGGTGCTCAGATCCTCCCCTCAGTACGAACCCTAACGTCCGATGGCTAATAGTACCAGTTCTATGTTGATTAACAAGTCTTCTGGTGTGTCGTTTTTGTGGTGTGTGTGTGTGTGTGTGTGTGTGTGTGTGTGTGTGTGTGTGTGTGTGTGTGTGTGTGTGTGTGTGTGTGTGTGTGTGTGTGTGTGTGTGTGTGTGTGTGTGTGTGTGTGTGTGTGTGTGTGTGTGTGTGTGTGTGTGTGTGTGTGTGTGTGTGTGTGTGTGTGTGTGTGTGTGTGTGTGTGTGTGTGTGTGTGTGTGTGTGTGTGTGTGTGTGTGTGTGTGTGTGTGTGTGTGTGTGTGTGTGTGTGTGTGTGTGTGTGTGTGTGTGTGTGTGTGTGTGTGTGTGTGTGTGTGTGTGTGTGTGTGTGTGTGTGTGTGTGTGTGTGTGTGTGTGTGTGTGTGTGTGTGTGTGTGTGTGTGTGTGTGTGTGTGTGTGTGTGTGTGTGTGTGTGTGTGTGTGTGTGTGTGTGTGTGTGTGTGTGTGTGTGTGTGTGTGTGTGTGTGTGTGTGTGTGTGTGTGTGTGTGTGTGTGTGTGTGTGTGTGTGTGTGTGTGTGTGTGTGTGTGTGTGTGTGTGTGTGTGTGTGTGTGTGTGTGTGTGTGTGTGTGTGTGTGTGTGTGTGTGTGTGTGTGTGTGTGTGTGTGTGTGTGTGTGTGTGTGTGTGTGTGTGTGTGTGTGTGTGTGTGTGTGTGTGTGTGTGTGTGTGTGTGTGTGTGTGTGTGTGTGTGTGTGTGTGTGTGTGTGTGTGTGTGTGTGTGTGTGTGTGTGTGTGTGTGTGTGTGTGTGTGTGTGTGTGTGTGTGTGTGTGTGTGTGTGTGTGTGTGTGTGTGTGTGTGTGTGTGTGTGTGTGTGTGTGTGTGTGTGTGTGTGTGTGTGTGTGTGTGTGTGTGTGTGTGTGTGTGTGTGTGTGTGTGTGTGTGTGTGTGTGTGTGTGTGTGTGTGTGTGTGTGTGTGTGTGTGTGTGTGTGTGTGTGTGTGTGGCTATGCCGATCTTAATTCCCAAGTCTGCCAATATGTGAGTGATGTGGATTCACTGCCCTCAAAGTCCTCTATCCTTCCCATTTCTCTGAGGGCATTAAAAATATCAGCGAGATCCATAGGCTGCCCGTCGGCAGTGAAAGCGGATCCAGTCAACCTATCAGCTGTTTCATTACCATCAACGCCTGCGTGTCCCGGAACAAAAATAACGGTGACTCACAGTGGACCTCTTTAATGATTCAAGCCATTGTCTTCGCACCGAACCTGCCTGAACCCTCCAGATCATATTCATCATCATATAGTTAGGGACAATTGATGCAGGGGACTTGTCGATTCTTAATTCAACATTCAACACTAGCAACCCTTTGCTGTGGCATGGAGGGATGTCAGAAGACAGGAGTTGATTCAAGCAGTTCGAGATGGCAACCTGTGAGGATGCATGATCGGCCAGGCAAGTCGGCGAATCATTTGATGACGACAGAAACACACACAGGCAAGACAACTAACATATACAAGGTCTTATATCTGAACACATTACCTACAACCACAAGACACTCTTATACGATGTTATTAAGTCTTAGCACACTGCAGACATCTGGTTTGGAGTTTTAGAAATTTAGCTATGTATCATCCCAAAAATACAATTCACATCTATTATTAAATATATTTCACCACAAAATCCATCACATATTTTGGGATCAATTATTCATAACACATGTAAAGCCTTACCGGATTTCTCCTCATTTCCATATTTATTCCCCCCCCCC